CATTCTTGCTAATAGCGATCTGCAAGTTTAGTGCAAAAACGCATGATCGCACCGGAGAGCCTGGTGGGTTCCAGCCTGGGTTGCTTACTGTCCATAGTTACACGTGGCATTTTAAAGGGCTTTTAAAGCATTAAAGCGTGTTTGCCAAATGCCCATCTCCTAAATTTGTTTAGAACGTCCTGGAAAGTCCGACAGTTTGATTTATAGCTGAACCAAAAAATCGTTACAAGGCAAGAACTAATTGCAGAGGAATGTTTCTGAATTTTTTTTTGGCTGGTGACTTTACTTTAATTGCAGTTCATAAACAGAATATTAGAAAATTTTGGAAAAAATATGCCTGGTAAAAGTAGTGCCGTTAGCAAATTCCCAGAATTTTCAGTTATGTCTCATTAAAGGCAATTTTTTATAATTTACAATTTGTTAAAAACAGTGAATACCTGCATACACAATTTGTTATTTAACCGATTAAGCGAAGAGGATTGTACAACGACGTCTGGGATTGCAAATAGCGTTTCTATAGCTGCGGAGCCAGTGTTTCTCACGCAATGATAGATTATAAATACTCGAGAAATTACCCGCCATCAATTATTTATAAAAGCAGGCACAATTTTTCACCAATAATGATAAAATAATGGCATACAGCATCTCCCGAAATGAAATAATTATGCATAGAACAATCTTGAGTTTCTGCTCTCATGATAGCCACTCTTTTTGAAATCTTTTTACATCTTGCAAGAACCCTAAAACATTTCACGATACCTACTCGCGAAAAGTTTGCATTCTTATTTCAAACACTACTTTTACTAATAGCCAATAAGTTGGAATAAGTAAATTGTCTTTTGGAGGAACAACCTGCAAAAGCGCATCTTATGTCACATTTCCTCACGCGCATATGGTGAAAATAACAAATACCTGCTGTAAAAAATGAAAATAAAAACTTTTTTTGACGTTTATAAAGCCAGGTTGGCAAAGTTCATAACAACTTGTAAATGGCTGCAAGCCGACGGAGTTCACATTCTATAGCTCCTCGTAAAGTGAGCAGGCAACAAGCGCCCTGCGCTTTATACCATCAAGCTTGACGATGAATAATGAATCAAACCTGCTCGTTAAGAGTACATCACTGTGGTCATAAGAGAATGTAAAAATCAAGTGAACGGAGGAGTTTCTTGCTTTGTTGAGAGCTCGTGGTCACCGCCTATCGGCAACTTGGATAGGACAGATGGTAAAGTCAGCGTTAACAGAAATATTCGCAGTTATAGGAATCACTGCACACTTTTTCGAAAAATGGGTCTACACATATCTGTGGTTCCTGATGGATTAAACGGAGAGGGTAGGTAAAGTGATGTCTGTGACTGCGATCATTGCTTTCATAAGAAAATGTAATACTTCAATTTTTCCCATGAAATGTTACATGATGAATACCAGGATGGTCGGCAAACTGCGAAACCCATCAATTATTTATGGGAGCAGGCATGGTTTTTTATATCAGCCAAGCGGGTTCTTCAATGCTTAGCAGCACAGCCGCAAAAGACATGCATTTTCTTTCACAAACAAAATGTGGAACCTTTAATTTTTCATATTTAAAAAATTGCACTATTTTGTAACTTTCTCCCACGTAATTCGTATTTCTAACGTTTAAGCTGCCAAACAAAAAAAAAAATATCAGCAGAACTCTTTCTAAAATTTTAAAGTGATTCCTTGACATCTGCTGTAGTCATTTTAGAAAACAGCAAGGCTAAACTGTTGAATGTGGCTTGTAAGATTATTTAAAAAAAAGGAGACTGATATAAGGAGGATAAATCCAAACAGGAGCGTTTTAATCCATTAAATCATGCACATCCCTATTTCGTACCACAACTAATACCACTGACTTCGTCAGTAAGACAGTAAGCTCGAGACAAAGACCATGCTACTCCATGAATGATCATAGTAGCGCAATCTTGAAATATCTTTTCTTGGAGAGCCGGAACAATGTACCTTCGTGACTTTTGAAAACTTCTCTCTCCAATAGGACTTAAAAAAGAAATGATACCTGTGTGACAGTGAATGAATTTGGAGTGAAGAAAACGAGTGCGGCAAGTTGCAGCACTGTGAGGCATGCACAGAGAACTGCTGAGCAAACAATCTTCATTGGTATCAGGGCGTAAATCGTGAAAATGATCAGCGCAACCGGAAGGATGGCGGAATGTGCTGTTGGCATGAGAGTGACCGCACTGAGTGCAAGCAGCTGCACCGTACCGTACAGCAAATAACGGATCAGCGAACGCTTGACGAGCAGTAGGGCCTGCAGAATGAGGCAGAGCGTTGCGCTGACCGCACTGATAATGAGCATGAGGTCGAGGTGCAGCAGATGGACCAGCGCCATTAGCAGAAAGTAGGCAGCCCAAATGCACTGCACATGGAGCAGGTGCGCACGTGTGTGCACCAGCAGTGACTGCTGATAAAGCTGCTCAAGCTGATGATCACCAAATGTGACGCCCATTGGAATTAAATGCAGCGGGCTGCTGCTCCGAGAAGGCAGGAACAGGCGAGTTCAAGCAGAGCCGAAGCAGTAACAATACTCGTTATAGAAGTAACAGTGACAGAATTACTGTTGACAGAACTGATAATAATGATGATAATATCAATGAAGAGAACAATGGCAGCAAGAGCGGTGGGAGCTGGAAAAGGAATGAGACGGAGTTCGAGCTGCCGCTGCTGCCCGTTGTGGGCACTGGAAAAGAGTAAAATTGAGCTGAGAAATGTTCGTCGACCACTTGCCAAGCTTTTCTGCCTGTTACGATCAAAATTCGTTGTAAATCATCGTCTGGATCCGAACTGCGAAGCATCCCAAAACTGAGTGAAAAGAAGCTGATGGCCATTCCATCAACTTTTTAAGGAGCGCGAAGAAATACCGCCATTCGATGGCACTGAAATACACAGAGAGTACAAAGAAGCCGAAAGAAGCGTCCACAAAAAGCTCTTTTTTTGTTCGAATTTCAGAAAATAATGGCACCGGGTGTTTCTTCGATGATCGGTCGCGACGACAGCTGTTGCTCGGGATGCAGGCGATCAGTTCGGGCGGGCCGATCCAAGCCACTCCTGCCAGCAGCAGTAGCAACTGCCCCGGAGGGGAGGCGCTCGGCGATCGCCTTGGGCGGGTCCGATGCCCGTCACTACGGGTAGTGGCAGTTGCCCGGAAGGCGGGCGGAAAATCAGCTTGGGCGGGTTCGCTGCTTTACAAGCTGCATACTTCCACCCAGCAAAATTAACAACTACTATCCGCCTGTTCGTGCTTTGTTTCCCCTGGATGAGTAATCAGGTGGATGTCCGGCTGGCTCATTGACGAGCTCGTTCACCAAGCGAAAGTGACCGAAGGAGACTGAATAACAAACAACTGAAGTAACTCAAATCTCTCGCGTCCCATTATTAAAAGGGCTCATGTTCGATTCGTTTGTTGAGAAATTCGACATCTCGCCTTCGAAAGACTGATTTTTCGAAGTAGGAAAGTCTCCATGAACAGATTCTTCACTCAACTGATTCCAGTAATCCCTTCCGCAAAAAGGTCTGATTCAGTTCTAATAATGCAAGTTCAACCACATGCGAAGGAAGAACCTTTGGATTCATCCAGCCGCTCTACGCTACCTGTAGGTTACAAGGGCTTCCTTTCAGAAAATAAAATGAGGTTCTGTGTGGACACTGGAAGATTCCCTGCTCAACCACATCTTGAAGAGTTGCGACGCCATTAAAACTAATTTGGAGAAAGCATTTCTGCATATGTTCAGCAACTGAGCGAACAAACATACTCCACTGACGCCAGACCTCAGCGCGTGTTTGTAAAAAAGGAGGTTTTTTCTCAACCAGAAATAGCACGTTTGAGGACTGCTTAATGGTAAAACCACTAAACGTTGTGAAAGAGCTTTTCAATTTCAAAAAGCTTTCTCTCTCCTCACTCTTACAGTTTTTTTCCTCTTCTGCCTCCCTCCCCTCTCTTCTCCCACCCCTCTCTCCCAAAAAAAGAAAAAGGCCGAAAAAAGTCCGGAAAAAAAATGCGACTCTCTGATTTCTAGCAAATGGCACCCCTGCACCCCGTAATCCCTCAAAAAAGCTTAAGCCGTCAGGAGCTCATTGTAAATTTACAAAGAAACAATATCTGAGGGAACAAGTGTAAGAGTATCCGCACGATGTTGTTTACGGCGATCCGGCGATTCGTGTACTGCCCATTCCCCGGATCACCTGTGCAGGAACCTTTCACTGGATGAACACCGACATACATACATCCACCCACTACCACAACACAGACCATTGCATTTCGATATTTTTGCCAACTCATTTATCCCAGCAACCGTCGGTCACAATTTGCGTTCATTGTTTCCGCACCACTGCACTTGTGCTACAGTGCATTTGCAGCAACAGCTGATCTATTGTTCCGTACGTCCACGTATACACTACGTAGCCTCCTTTTCTGATCGTCCAACATGGTAACCACTACCAAAGGGGTCAATGTGCTAGTTTCGCCTCGTTCCCTTACTACATACAGGCGGTGGGTACTAAGAAATTTGGAGGTATTCAGTCCAGGAACGGAGCGCGTGGTATAGCTGTGCTCGGGAGCATCCTAGCAACGTCACGAACAGGAAATCCTACATTGATAGTCTGTGCGGTGTACCCCTCGTTGTCCGACAATGTCCGCGAGCACGTGGAGAAAACTGAACAACGTTCATGACTGCTGTAAATGACGAGTATTTGAGGCTAAATAAACGGTGTCACAAAATGCGCGATATCGGCGAGACATTTCGAAAACCATTCAAATAGTTATGTGCTTTGGATGAAATCGTTGCGGTCCGTGTGTGTTTAATGGTTGTTGGAGTAGTTCAAGGCCGTCAGCGATAAGCTGGAGCGAAAGATGCGCGGCGTTGTCCTGCTCTGTTTGCTTTATTGTTTCCTCGCTGTTTACCTTTGTTCTGTTGATAAACTGAGAAGCTGGGATTACTGGGTGGTCACCGGAAAGCATTGAGCATCTACAAAAATGCCAAGTCGTGGCTGCTAGGGCTCATAAATTGCAGTGCAAAGGTTCGCAGTTAAACGACGAGACCGCTGAAGTGGGCAGGAAATCGCTGAAATGCTTATTGCTACTGAGAGTTTTCAGGTGCGCGCTGTTAAACTTCACCGGAAAATGCCGAAACGAGCTCAAAAGTATTAAATTCACGCGTAAACCGAATAAAATGTAAAGAAGGAAAAGAAAGGTCCAATCGCGGACGTATCAGATTCCCATCACCTTTTCCGAACTCCATTTGAGCGCTTTTTATTGCGCCCGACATTTGTATAGCTTCAGCAAGCACCATAATCATATGCATCAGTAATAGTCTAGCGAGAGAGACCAGTGGTCAGAGAAGAGTTGCGCGTAAATGGACTGGTGGGAAGCGAGACGGAAAAGGAATGAGATGGGGGAACGCTAAAAAAAGAATCTCAAAATGCCTGCAATCTCAAAAAACGACGACACTAAAAGAAGCTTGTCGGTGTTAAATTGTTTGAAAGCCAAAATATTTGGTGAGGGGCAAAGAAAATTTAAATGAAATAACTGGGAAAGAAATGGCGACTCCAAGAAATGGCGACTGCCATTGATAGCCATACGTGCTGTAATTTGAATTAACGCATCTTCCATGAAGATCTTTACCGTGATCAGCGGTAGCTGTGTTTTGTCTGATTTTATACTATTTCCCGTTCCTGTCTGATTGCGCTAAAACGCTGCTAGCATGATTTGCAAACTAGCTAAAAATGTAGCGAATTTGCGATGCACCTCAAATACGCCAGAAAAGCAGCACTGACTAATGCATTAAGTGGGACGCATCAGGAAACTGGTTCAAGCATGAATTTCTTGCACAACTTGCGGCCATGGGAAGCAGATTTGTTTCAGTATGTAAGTCTGATTCCATTTACTTGAGTTCATAGATCAACATCTGACGAGACCGGAAGACTTTTTTATTGCCATGAATCATTAAAAGCAAAATAAGGTTTCAAAAATCTTAGCTTCTTGGCTGTTGAAAAGAAATTGTGTGATAAACAGACAAATACAAGCACGGCGCACGCATACACATGCATACACACGCCTACAAGCATATATATATATGTATATATATATATATATATATATATACATGCATGCATACATACATACAAAGATACATGTGTATGTATGCACATACATACGTACATACACAAATACACATACACGCATACGCACACATGTGTGTGCTAAGAATATGCGTTTTTGCATTTGCATAAAATGGCCAAAACAGCAAGCAAACTATTATACTTAGTATGCGTTGTTTTTCAGTCTCTGAAATAATGATAACGGATGATGCAGCACATCCCAAGTAAGTACTGCGAGAGCAGTGCAGCGAGTTTCAGACACGCAATTTGGCGGTCATTGTCCTTACAGCAACAGGCACGCAAGAACTGTCCGTGTTCAGACTGAACGGCTGGTGGGACAGTGATAACAGCATTCTATAGAGGCATTTGGTGTACATAATTTTAAGGGAGAAGCGAGCATTCCTTTCTTTGCAAGCAACATTCATTGTTTTAAATGTACCGTCATATCGGCAGCTGAAAGTTCAGTTTTGGCTATCATTTAATCCGCAAAGTATGTGAGACATCCAGAACGTGTGCATATCACCCCGTTCCAGTATTTGTTTTTGCTTATAACTGACGATTTTTTTTTTT